TCCGGCTGAAGGCAAACAGCATGTACTGGTATTAAGCCACATCAAAAGGAGGATGGTGGCTGAGTGGATGAGAGCCTGCACCAGTGGAGCACACGAGTCAAAGAAGGAGAAAAATACATAAAACTATCAGAGAAAGGTAAGGCAGTTACAGGATCATCGTAACTGGTCTATCACGTCACTTCTACTTCTGTGCTGTATCTCTGGAAGAGGAATCACCCATCCAATACTACTTATTTCTACAGTCCTTATCTGTAGAAATAAAAGGTACATAGTTCTGAAGGTACAATTTTGCTTTACTCTGAATAAATATGCACTTTTTCCATTTGCAAAAGTCACTGGACACCTTTATATAAAACAGAGTTAATTTGTACCCATCATCTTTTCACAGGGAACCGGCAAGGGACAGAGAGGGAAACTCATGAATCTATGTAAAAAATTATACAATTCCTCTTGTATCTAAAGCTTTTAAATGAGCAGTTGTATTATTTATCCAGCTCCAGATTAGAGAGATGCCTCTTCACCTCTTCACAAATCCTTTAAAACCTGACACAAATTCTGGAACCCTATTCCCTTACTTTCTCTCTCCTGTTTCCAGTACTTACAAGCAATGTACAACTGTGCGTCCCTCTCCCCCGTTATATTCTTCCTGCCACTTCTCCACCTGGCGGATGAGCTTCAAGAAGGAGCGTTTGGAAACGGGAGTGTCTCTGTACATGGGCCATCCCAGGAACTGGAACTGCTGCACCATCCGATAGCCGTCTTGGGGCTGTAGAGATTCAGACAACAAGCAGAAAAAAGTAACAGCATTTTTTTTTGGTACATAATTTAGAGATTTGCATCAATGAGGAAAGTTGTTCAGGCAGATCACCGCTGACAAACTACTAATGTAATTTCAACTGCCCTTGAGGAGTTATGGCTTTTAATTTCCAACAGAGTTATTAGAACAAGAGTTTTTAAACAGAGTGCCATACAAATAGACTAGAATAGAGCAATGGTGCAGCTGCAGGATCAAGCAAATAATTAATTAATATCATAGCAGGAACTTCGTAGCAAAGAGGGAGCTGCAACACAACTTCAATTATACACCTATATTTTTCACATGCTTCAGCATTTTGAAGACTGCTTGCGTGCATCTGTCTTTTTTGACAAGAAAGGTCAAAACCTCTCAAGATATTCTGAAGCAGGAAACATTTAAAACACCAAAAGAAACCCTCAGATTTTCCCAGCTTATAAAAAAATCTAAATACATTTTATTTTATTGTCTGCTACTGCAGCAGTCAGAACCCCTCTGGTGAAACATTACTGAGCAGCTGCTTGATGGTGATTTAAAATAAAAAAGGGGCATAGAACAAGTGTTAGTGGCAGAAAATTACAGTCCTTTGAAAAGGGCATAATAAACACACACATGAAAACTGGTTTTGTAGTCTAGGATTTGCCACTTTCACTTCTGTGCAAAGTGAGGGCATTTTAGTGCCACTTTTTAAATGAGCAACACACAGAAGTGTTGACATTACCATTTTTTCTCTAGAGTAAAAGGTAATAGAAAGGGTGTAAGATTAACAAGATAAAGGAATAAACCAAACTGGATGCAGCATTAGATATGTTCTTCAATGGGTTTTGTCTGCTCTATGTCAAAATTATTTGGAATCTACTGATTTCCTGGCCAGTTTCTTTCAGCTGACGGCCCCTCTTCCCAAAGCACATCAGCCAGACCCAGCGCCTGCTAAAGCTCACATTAACGCTGCTGGAGATTGTGCTTTTTTTGTTGCCACATTTACTGCAAATGCAAGGCCTTCACAGTATGGAAGAAAGATCTAGAAGCTTACGATGTGCTTCCCTGTTCAGATACTAGCATGCTTTTGTGTGTGTTTTGGGGGCCTTTCTCTCACTGTCCTGAGTGCTACCAGATCTGAGGGCAGTTCCCAACTTTCTTCAGCAGGGAATGCTACTTATCCCTAGCTATGGTTCTTTGGTGATTGATACTAGTCCACTGCAAAGGCTCGCTTCATCTGGCTGGGAAGAGATGCCTGGTCTCTGGTGGAATCTCTTTTCCACTCAGCTTGAAAGACGTGCCTTGTTTAGTCTTCTGTCAACTTTATGGGAGCATAAAAGCTGGATATGAGAATGTACTTAGAATCATAGAATCGTTTAGATTGGAAAAGACCTTTAAGATCATAAATCCAACAGTTAACCTAACACTACCATCCCACCACTAAACCACGTCCCTAAGCACCTTGTCTGTCCATCCTCCAGGGACGGGGACTCGACCACTTCCCTGGGTAGCCTGTTCCAATGCTTGACAACCCTTTTGGTGAAGAAATTTTTCCTAATGTCCAATCTAAACCTCCCCACTTGTCCTTCTGAAGTGCTTACATATATTATGAAGGGTGATTAGTGGGACATGACCGTTGCTAAAAGCCCGGGACTGGTACTGAAAAATATGCCTAGTATTGGTGCATGGCTTTCTTCGCATGACACAGGATACAAACATGCAAGATGGTTAATTTCAAACTGTTGAAAACAGCACTGATTTTGGTATTTCTTGGCCACCCATCTGAATGCTGCATTTATTCAATTTGATTTGAACACACTCGAGATATGCATTAAATATTTTTTACTTTAATTACACATAGGAGGCTTTTTTTCATTGATTATAGTGTGACTCAGTATTGCACTGCTACTCTCAAAAAATAAGCTGAAAAATGAGAATGTTTTTATGCGAGCTTGACTTTTGTTTTTTGTGACTTGAATAGAGCCAACTCATCTACTGAGACAGAAATGTTTCACAAATAACATCCTTACTCTGGCTGCATTATAAATTCGGAATATCCGGCTGATGATGTCTTCTTCTAAATCAGCTGATACAAACTCCACCTGAATAGGACCGTGTCGGTGTACTCCGTTTTCTGGCCAATACTGAGGACACAGCTATAGAAGATGACAAAACCAAAAGAGCACAGTTAATCACTGTGAATTTCATGCCGCCTCAATATACTTTTCTAGATTTTTCTTTGTGCTACATTCATTACTGACATCCTCACATGATATCTTCATAAAATAAACAGTGCACCACCCTCCATCAGTTTTGAGCACCCTGCCTTTACTTGTGCGGAACAAGTTCAAACAAATGCCTTTTCACTTAACTGAACATGCTATTGCTTGCTGTGTGCTCGCCGTTCTCTGATATTTGGAGTAACACATTTCTGACACTCAACGTCAATTCTGCAATACCGTATGACAAGACAGGGGGATGCTGTCAAATATGACCATCTCTTGGAGATAGCGTGAAGCCTAAGGACCAAAGGTCTGGTATCTCCAACTGTCCTGAAAAATTGGTAGTAATTCAAGCTACATCAGAATATGTGCTTTAAACTATGAAGGTTGCATCATTTCTGAAAACTCAGGACTTAACTTTCACATCTGTTTCAGCCATGACTGAGGATATTGGCTAATATCATCATTGCTTTAAGTTTTCAACAACTGCTCAATTTCATCTTATGAATGCCACCTGAAAACAGTAATTATGCTCTCTTTAGTGCTCAGAAAACGTTACTTCTAGGTATCTAAAGAGCACAGAGTAACATTACCATTATCTTGCACAGTTTTAGCATCTAATAATATCACGATGGCTTAATCCAGGAACCAATTATCATCTGTGTTAATACTTTAAAGATTAAATCAACACTTTGCAAGGAGGTTTTTGAAGCTAGACTCTGCTTGTCCATTTTTTTTCCATAAAAACCCTAATGATTTTTTTCCAGGGATATTTACAGCAGTTCAAGCTTGTAGCTTTTGCAAGCATTCACCAAAATGAAGCATGAACTCATGAAATTTTGTTTGCTTGCAGAAGCATTGATGTCATATTTGGAACTTTATTTCATTCAGTAAAACAGCTGTGGTCTTCATTCTGCTGCATTGCTGTTGGTGATCCAGAGCTGAGCTGACAAATCACATTTACTCCAGATGTTGTTTTGCATTTCTTATAACACTTATTCCTCAACAAAGACGTTTAGAGATGACTACATTTTAGGAAAACATAATCATTTACTACATCAATTAAAAAGAGAACGGGGTCTGATTTGCAGGAGTTCACTTTAACAAGTTAAAAACAGAAATTTCGAGTAGGAAAATATATTTTCATTTATTTGAAAGCCCCCACATGATTCATTCCGCTGAGCAAATTACTTTCCAAATATTGTCTAAATCTTACACAAATTTTTATTATGAAATATGCTAGTGTACAGGATAGCAAAATGCAATGCATACAACTAATGCAAATGCTAGTGCTCAGATCATTTAACATGCGCACAATTTAGTACATGTCTTTCAAATACATAGGAATACTGTTCAAACAGATCTTTGAAAAATGCTTAAATGATAATAAGCAGAGCTGTTTGCTGGAGCTCTTTTAGGAAGCCAAGATTTTCAAGTTCTAAAGAAACCAAAAGCATTTAGGTCTGCGTATTTTGCATGCATGTGATGCTAGCGACTCTCTTTAAGTCAGAGTCGCTGTGAAGGGTTGAATTTCATTTCCCAATAGAGCATAACAAGCCACATAAATTGTAATATTGAAACAGAACTGTAAACACTCCATATATACATAAATAATAATGATAACGGTAATTATTAATAAATCTGAATGTAATGTGTGTTTTTAATAAGCTCTGCCCTCTCTCCACTTCTGTTTGCTCTGAGGGTTCTGAGATTTATTCCTAATGAAAAGATTGTTACTCACATTAGAGGGAAAAGGTTTAACATACTGCAGAGGCAGTGCATTAACTGCATATCCCAATAGCTTTTAAAAGCCTGTGAGGCTAATAAATGCTTGAAATAGCCATGCACTATTGTAAATTCAAAACAGAGCCCACAAATTAAAAAAACTCTGTTCAGCAGTCCCTAACAGTCTGACTCCCTTGAGTCTTTCCTTATTCACTCAGAAAATAATCTTAGACTCATGAATAAAAGTTTTGTCTTTCATTTCTGTTTTTCTCCCCATAGACAGTTAAGGGCTTGGAATCAGAAATTCAGTCTTTAAAATAGCATGTGGAATTCCTACACACTCCTTTGAAAGAAAAACCAGAAGATTAGTATGTTTTAAAAGCAAATTCTTTGTGTTAAAAGGAAATTGAAGGAAACATTTTTCTGGGTATGAAGAATACTCAGCAAAACTAAATAGAATCTTGATCGTATCAAGAATAAAAATGACATGCAGTCTGCTATAAAAAATAACAATTGCTCTTAACCAATAATTAGCAAATATTTACATATTAAGAATCCGGATTACCACCACGTTATTCCAGCAGACGGCTAGTGCAGTCTGTTGGAACCACGGAAATTATATCTGTGCAAGTACTTGGAATTGCGCGGTTGCGAGCCAGGCTCTAGGACATCTTAGTGATTAATGCTAGTGATTAAATTGCCAAACCAGTAGGTACGGTTTTCCAATTTTCTAAAGAACATGTACAGCATGCACAACTCTTTTGTAAGGTAATTACATTCCCCCATATGTTTCATTGCCCTGTTTTCTCTTCCGAAGGATGCTTAGTCTCCAATCTTGTTTAGTTCCTATCTCCTTGCTAACAATGTCAAACATAACACGGATTTTCACACCGGGAACACCTATCCCCTGGTAAGCAGACCAAGGTCATTGACCTGTTTCGGGCAGGCTAATGAAAAGCTGTTGGCTTCTGTTTATGACTTTTGGCTATTACTAGTGTGTTTCAGACTTGAGTCAGAATTGTACAACCCTCATTTCTGGCTTTTAGCAGCTCTTCCCAAAGCATGTTTTCTTATCAGAATAAATTATGGGCACATGCACTTACGTGTGCGTGCATTAACATTTTGGTGGAGAAACTGCTAGTATTTAAAGTTGTTTTATAAAACTCATTACATCCCAAAGCTGTTCTGAAGCACATATGTGCTGAAATGCTGAGGCACTAGCAGCTCTCTGCTGAATGGAGCAGTTCTCAGACTTACTTGTGCTGGATCGACATCGTTCAGCATAACTATTGAAGTGCAGTGATAGTCTAGGACCAGTCTCCAGAAATCTTTGACGGTATTTGGCAAGGGATGCTGCGTAACTATAAAAGCTGACGGTTGTTTGTAGCTCTGCAAAGAAATAACAAGAGATGGTGAGAAGAATGGTAAAAGATAAAAATCCATTTAGCAGAATGCCAGTCACAGCCCCAAAACTTTGGGACTTAAAGCATTATTTCTATTTTCTATATAATTAATACATTGTTTTCAGCTCTTCCCCAAGATCTTATATGCCTCAAAGTTAATAAACTGTATTTGGGCAGAATATAACTTCTGCAAATGCTATATTTATGAAATTTATTTTATGCCACAGGCATAGACTAAAACCATCGGAGGTTTTTGCCTCCAATGCAGCTCCTACAAAATTTTGAGCAACAGTTTTGTTTTGAGCTGTTAATGGACAGATTAATCTTGGCTGTCTGCACTTAGCTGTTAATTTGAATGATGCCTGTGAAAGGAAATATCTAGTTACTTTTCAGAAATATTGCTGAAATTCTGGTCTATCTGACAGCAGCGAGGATACCCAGAGGATAAATTTCAGTGTTCTTTGGGGTTTTTTTAGTACCAGAGTATGTCATTGACTGAGCCGTTTGGTGGAACTGTTCAACTGTGTAATTTTCAATTATGTCCTCCTGAGTGTGGCTGTACTGGGGCAATTTTTGGGAGGGGTTGCCGTTGCCTTCATTAAGGAGGGCAGGGAAACCTCTACATGCCTTGAACTGAAGTATTTGTACCGTGACAGTGATACAATCCGATCAGCTATTTGCATCTTTCAGAGACAGTCACTGAAGAGACCACAGAAAATGAATCCAGTGTGTTTTAGGGTACAGATGAAGACATGCAAGACTTTTTTTTGGTTTCAGCAAACTGCAACCAGCAGGTATTGATGCTGCTGGAACATCAGTCAGCTGCCCTCTATCCTATTGCTCCTGTCTTGCTGGAAGTTGCATGCAGATGAGAGAGGCTCGAAGGGGTCTGTGTTATTCACACACTTACAAGCCCCAGCAGGTTTTTTTCAGAAAAATCATTCTCAGACTCATTTGATACTGAGTAATGAAAATTATGGTTGGTACCCCTTTTACTTGAAAAGGTTTACATGAAGTGATCCAGCTGCATCTCAATGGATGCAAGTGGAGAGGGTGAAATGCATCACCTTGCCTGCTGGAGATGGAATGTTTGGAGAGGCACAAATCCCTGAGCTCTTGTCCGTCAGCGCAGGGCTATTGCAAGAGCCTGGTAAGGGAGCTTTGGGTGAAAAGTGGCCCAAATCACCTCCTACCTCGGAGCCTTTTGCCCAGACAGACTTTTGGGTCCAGCTCATTGTTTCAACAGAGAAGAAGGGAAGCATTTTCAAAGCAAATATTGAGGCACTGCTCTTTCTGAGCAGTACTTAATTTAAAGAACGAAACAGCACTGAACTCTCCAGGAAAGAAGACAATGCAATGGCAAGATTATAAATCGCAGATTGAGGAAGCTCCATTCGAATATGAAATGTTGTTGACCTACCGTGAGAACCTGGAGAAGTCACTTAAACTTTTGTTCTGAGTTTCTCTACATAGATACACAAAGATAATACACTTACCTTTTCACAGGAGTGTTTTGAACTTTTTTTAGGAAAATGCTTTAAGAACTTGGAAGGAAAGAAATGCAAAAACTGCTACAAACTGTTATTACTCTAGCTTCACTTTCCAAAAAGGCCATTTACAATGTGTTCATTCTTTGCTAACCTCTGTTTTCTTGTTGTTTATGTTTGACAACCATAATTACTATAGCTCTAAATTGCCAAAGATAGGCTATAAATATCTAGAGACCGCAAAGGCAGTTTAAGTGTCTTTTTACTGATATTCTATTAGCAGGATTAAAATTACCATAGATGCATTAGGAAAAAAAATCCACACACACATGCAGGGGAACCATTCATTCAAACAGAAATAAACAGAAAGACTGAAGTAATGGCTTGTGTACTATCTTGTGCTGACAGACAATTATTTTTTTTTTTAATTACCGTTTAAATTAGAAACAAAGGGAACTGAAATATTGTTGCAAACCTTATTATCCTATTTAACTGCCTTAACGTCTTAATAGGTAACTCTTTTTTTCCTAGGCCAGATGGTTAAAAATTCAAGCACTAGGGAGAAATCCAGACACATTTAATGTATCAAAACTCCCTGACTTGCTCTCTGAGCTTGGCTTTGGAGCCTTGGCTGTGACATAACATATGTGGGATCCTAAATGTACTTGGGAGTTTAAAGATTTTGTGCCATGTTTTTGGAAAAAAAGCTAGAAGGATTTCAGTCTTCTTATGCTGACTCCACTTTCTGGCATTGCTCAGTTTGGAGGGCTGCTTATTCCCTTTTTATTATTAATGATGTATTGGAGACTTACATCCATCAGTGCAGCATTGATGTAGTTACTGCTCTCCCCATCTATCGTTATGAGGAAAGGCAGGCATCTGTCTGGAGGCAGAACATCCATGCAGCGATTCTTTTCATGATTTCGTGGTAAAAGTGCTATGCTGCAGTCTTCTACGCGCAGTGTTGGAGTCACCATATTTAAAGTCTTTCAAAAAGAGTAAACAATACAACAGAAAAATTAACACAGCAGTGAAAGCATCCCAAAATATTTAAGAATAGATCAGCTCAACATTCAGTTTCAGTGGGGATCAATATGCAGAGAAATGAAAACACATCACAGTCAGCAGGGTTTGGAAGCAAAAAATCCTGGGAGCACACAGATCTGAAAAATAACCTCAAAGACAGCTGCAGAGTAACCTACCTTCTGGAGAAAGGACAGAGGAAGGAATCGATATCCTTTCCTTGAGTAAAAATATTTTACTACTACCCTAATGCATTCTTTTATGGTTTAGCATAATTCAGTAGCAATTAGTGACATATTATTTTCCCCTTTTTGGCAGTCTTTCCTTCCCAGGCCTGGTCCAAAATTCACACAGTTATAAGGAAGCACGTAAGTAGGAGTCTTTAGCATAGCTGAACTGTAGAGCTTCTATGTACCGCTAGCCACAACTTACCCTAAATTCCTCTTTGATCTGGCTGGAGTTAGTCTGAGGATCCAGTTTATTCATTTCATAGTAAACAGACCTAACTTGAGAAGCTGGAATAGATGTGTCCCCACAAAGACAGGCTTCCAGGATAGCATCATGGATGAATACATACTGTTCCTGGTAAAGAAATTAAAATAATTACTGACAGAGAGAGCATATGCTACTAGTATTTTGGTAAATTAAAAATAACAACTAATATGGTTGCCACTAATTTTCTCTGACTTTACCGGCACTGAAGCAAGACCAGAAGGAACAACAGCAGTTCACAAAACTTTATCGCGCCCATTTAGAAATTAATAGAGAAGGATTGACCCAAACTAGTTACGAGTACAAACAGAAGCGCAGTAACACTCCGTAATAAAACTTGGAATGTTTCTGGTTTCTCCATTCCTCTGCACAATTCTGTAGGTGCTATCACATAGCTGAGCCTCAACAAGATGTACTTCAGAATGAATCTTCCCTGGAGAAGCGACACTCATGATTTTCGTCTTTTTTAGAAAACCACTGCAAACCTTAAGTGCAGCACAACTGGGCACTTGTTTGGGCAGTGGTTCTTCAGGTTTGTGTGTGAGCAATTTTCTGCATATTGACTGAATAAACAACCTTCTGGATGGTGCCTACCACAAAGGGGCTCTAGTTTTATGGGCTAGAAGAATATTTTTTCTTGCAAAGTGTAAGACAGTATTCCAGTAGATTAGCAATACCTCAGTCTGCACCATGTTAACTCTCCGAGATCGAAGCTCTCTCACGCAATTGTATATGTCTACAACGCCTTCCCTTTCTGCCATATCGAGCATGATGTCAATAACAATGAAGCACCCAGTTCTGCCAGCACCAGCACTAAAGTAAAAGAAGAGCACGGTTAATGTTTAGCAGTGTATGGGAAAACATAAAGTGCAAGGGTTCACCTTGCAGGTCCTTGATCAATGGGATGATTACTGAAATTAAATCTTGCATTCCGGCATTTGCAGGCTTTCAGACTCAGTTTTGCCATTTGTGTTTATATTTCACGTATTAAGTTTTTGTGGGTAGAACTCCAGTGGCTTCAGCAACCTATGTGGAGAAGCACAGGTAGGCTCTGAGTTTAGTTCACAACACAACGGAGGGATTTCTGTTCCACTCACCTGCAGTGAACAACCAGAGGACCAGCGTTTGGTGGGCTCTTGGATTTGACCTGCCGTACAAATCCTAGCAGTCCTGTCGCATGGTACGGTACACCGTGGTCTGGCCAGCCAGTGAAGTGAAACTGCCGAATTTCTCGAATCTCATGAGCACCTCTCTGTTGAAAAGACAAGGGTTGAAAAAGAAAAACAAGCTGGAATGTGAAAGAAATGGGACGAGAGACATCGTAAGAATGTAACTTCAAAAGCCTGAGCCTTGCTGAAAAACATCCACCCCCTACCAATACCCGTATCTGTACAGACTGTTGGAGAGCTTTCTCATAGCAGGAGAGCAAGTTCAAAGGTTACATATCAACTGGTTTCAAAGCCTTACAACAAAACCGAGTAATTTAGCTCTAGATTGGTTAGAATCTTTTAGCAACAAGATAGATGCTCATCTCTATATTTAAGTACAAGGTTGCTTTGAAAACTGTGGCCTTAAGATGCATGCCACGATCACAGAATAGGTCAGCAGCAAGGCCATGAACATACAGCACAGATGACATTTTTTTCCCACTGCTCTCCACGGGAGTTTTGCTGCTGACTTCAGGGAACTACAATTTCAGCATAATTTTCCTTATCATTTGTCTCCTTCACTGGTCTGAAGGGAACAGCTGAATAGTAAGAAACCTTTTTGCACCTCCAATCATGGGGGCTGCGTTTGTAGTCCTCCACAGGCTCCCCCTTCAAGTGATTTGCCACAGTCTACAAGGACATGGATATGGTAAGACAGGTATGAATGAGAAGCCGATCGTGTAAGTAATTTCCCGTGTGACTTTCTGGAGCAGTCTGGATATTAGAAGTGTGTATGCTAAGTTTGATTTTCTTAATGCTTGTATTTCCCCTCCCCCCTCTAAAAATGTAGCTGCCAGTATTTTATTCTCATTAGAAATCCACAGACGAGAGGCCATCATACATATTTCATAAGCAAACAACAAAATTATGACATATCATGTCTAGGCTGGACTAAATGTCAGTGATATTAATAACTGGTAGTTTACAGTTTTTCTTCTTAAAGATGTATTTCCTGTCTTGAGCTGGTTTGCATATAAAAGGTCTAATTCTTTTTGCATAATGAAGTAATATAAACTTCCTAATTTATTGCTAGTATGCAAGCTAAAAGAGTCTGGGATTTTCAAAGATTGAGAAATTTTGGCTGTGCCAGTGCTATGTGAGTGGAGTGGGCTTGGTGAATCTTGGGAGTCCCGATGCTCTGACAGCTCAGGCTGGGGGTCTGTGGAGACTGAGCATCCGCTCACAAATGCAACACAAATGACCTTATAACCCCCAAATCAATTTTAAAGCATGTTAAAACCCAGGAACAGACAAAGTAATTTGCATTTTAAGACAGTCTAGCAAACACATTCAAATACAATTTGGTCTCTATACTCAGGGGATTTTAGAGTGTGTTAGTTAACACAGCTTTTTGCTACTGTAAGCAAGGCCTCCAACTCTGTAAATAGCTGTGTGTAGGTGGGGTATCCATGTCCCAGACACTTTTATATTGCTCCTAACAACTGCCCACAATCCCCCAAGAAACAAAGATCCCATACAAAAAGCAATGCCATGACTATACAAACTCAGGACTGAAACGAGTATCCCACACAAATTCTTCATGCTGTACGCAGCCTTGACTTTCAAGTGATTTCCAACAAGTAAACCACCCCTCCAAAATACTGTGCCCGGCTGTTGCACGGATCAGAACATGTCCCGTGTATCTTGTGCGTTAGTTTTGAAATGAGCTGTCCGCCACGCTGACCGCATTTTTGGCTATCGTCGGTAACACTCAGCTACTTAGGAAAAGATTTTGCATATAGGGTACTTTTATAATGAGTTTGCTTATTATACCTACAAAAGAATGATTTTCACGTCTGTAGCTTCCCTGCTGGTTTCTAAACCCAAAATAGCAACACAACTGCATGAATCATAAAAGCATATGCTCCGCTTGGAAAGACTGTATTTTTTACTTTTTCTTTCAGCTGAAACAAACAGAAAATGGTGTACATTGCTAACAAACCCTAGGATGTTAAAAAATGTAGACCCTAATCCTACAAATACTTATGGTGCTGCCATATGTTACTCTCTGAGTAATTCATCTGAGTTACCGTTGCGCTGTAACAGAACTGCTCCAAAGGAACTGCTTATGCACAGAAGGTAAAGCGCATCTAGGAGGTGGTCTTCAGAATCAGAGTGTAATTTGAGGTTCAATTTTCTTAGCATTATCCCCTTACTCCTCAATAATTACCAAATAGCCATTTAAAAAAATCATAGAATCGTTTAGGTTGGAAAAGACCTTTAAGATCATCAAGGCCAACCGTTAACCTAACCCTGTCATTCCACCACTAAACCACCTCCCTAAGCACCTCATCTACCCATCTTTTAAATCCCTCCAGGGATGGGGACTCGACCACTTCCCTGGGCAGCCTGTTCCAATGCTTGACAACCCTTTCAGTGAAGAAATTTTTCCTAATGTCCAATCTAAACCTGCCCTGGCACAACTTGAGGCCGTTTCTCCTCGTCCTATCGCCCGTCACCCGGGAGAAGAGACCAACACCTACTTGGCTACACCCTCCTTTCAGGTAGTTGTAGAGGGTGATAAGGTCTCCCCTCAGCCTCCTTTTCTCCAGACTAAACAACCCCAGTTCCCTGCGATCAATTTGTCTCCAAATAAATCAACTTCTAAATTGTATTTTAGGAGCAGGTATGAGATGTTCATCCACAAATAGAAAAGATGGTCAGAAGGGACCTCTGGGGGTCTCCAGTCCAACCTCCCAATCAGAGTGGGTCTATGGCCAACACTAGATCAGCTCCAGCTGAGCCCTGATGACCTCCAAGAACGGAGATTCCACAACTTTTCTGGGTAGCCTGCTTTAGCACTGCACTACCCTTCTTTGAAGTTTTTCCAGTGCAAGCCTTCCATGCTGCAACTTCTTGGCCACTGCCCTCTGTTTTACCATCCATTATCGTTGAGAAGAATGAGGAGAATTTGATGCCCCTGATTTTCTAAACATCTTTGAGGTAGTTGCAGGCTGCAATTAGATCCTCCTTAACTGCCCAACCCCTCATCTCATCTCTACCACACCAAACAAGGCCAGCTCTCTTAACCTCCCCTTGCAGCTTCTATGTCCTACGTCTTGGATGTCAGCTGCTGTCCCAGGATGTCACAGCCTGTACAGACACATGGGGTAAGTCCACCTAAGGTGCAGAGCTTTGTATTTTCCTTGTTGAATTACTAAAGTTTCTGTCGGCCAAATCTTCAAGTCCTTCGGAACTGCGGCTCCCATGTTCAGCATTTCAACGCCACCCTTCACTTAGTATTATCTGTAGATTTGGTTAGGGTACGCTCTGTCTCATCATGCAGCTTGTCTTGAGGCTGAAAAGTATCGGTCCCAAAAAATCAGAAGTATAAACTTGAGAGAATTATGGTGGAATAGATGTACAGAATTGACCTTCCAGTACCATTGGAAGAGTTAAAAAATATGGAAAATAGGGTAAAAACAAATGTGCTTTACTCAAACTACACTGACATTGCTTTTAGAGGCTTACTGAAAAACTCCCAACTATTAAAAAGCAGTGTCTAAATGAAATCTTTTCAGATGGAGATTTTTTTTTAAGAAATAAAATGTTTAGTGCCTTTTATCTCTATCTGTTCTAATGCACTTATTCAAGACAGTTTGGTTATGATCAACTGTAAAATCCTCTAGGTCTTTTTTTCCAGTCCCAGTTAAGAAGTAAAAAGCTAACATCAAAGCATGGGCTTAAAATTTGCAGAATAGAAATCAACCAGTGCTTCATCTACTTCAAAGTGTAGCCACCGTTTCTCATCTGTTTATTAAAAATATCTAAATGCAAGGCAACAACAGGCTTGAATGAATTCGATGTACAATATGTATAGTGGTAAACACGATACAATATTTCAGTTCATTCAAACTGCATAATTCTGTTATCATTACCCTTAGGTTGCTGTATTGATGCATATTTAAGTATTAGATTGAAGAATAAAACAGGAAAAAAACTAATTCCTTTGTTACTGTGGATGTATGTACAGAGACCCTGTTGGGCCATTTTTTTTTTTTTTTTGCAGTTTCATCTACCTGGGTGCAGGATTCTTTGATGCTAAAGACTATGTTCTTCAAAACCGTAATTGAATAGTATTTCATCATTAGAGAGAACCACTATATCACAGGTACTGCAACTAAATCAAAAGGAGTTTTCTAAGCTAATTAGCTGAATGGAGATACTTGTGGAGATACTAGGAGAACATTACTTCAGTGCGCCATTAGGAATATCAAGTGTTACATACAGGCGCTTTCCTCGTTGTTCTGCAACTCGAATGAGTCTTGATAGGTACAATTGAAACACTCCCGTCCTTTAGTGAAGTCTGAATAAAACCCTTGCATTAACACAAAATGCATGACACACTTCAGCACTGACTGACCCTGCTTGTTCTCACTTTCAGTAAGTACCGTATTTGTTAATTGGACATTGTCCATATATTGTAAGCTGTTTGGGAGAGCTACAAGACCTAGTAAGCATCAAACAAATTCATGGCATTATTCTAATAACCAGGAATACAACCTGCTGATCGGAACTCTCCCTATAAAGACGGTTTCCACATAAAAAGTGAAATTGCCTTGAGAAGAAAATCAGTTTGTTTCAACTAGGTCTCTGCAGACCAGGAACACACCAGCCCAAGAGATAACAGTATTCTCCACCATGGACTGCTGAATAATGGTGCAAGCAGCCTCTGGTACAGACAGAAAATGATTGTGGGGAAAATAGGATGGGAAAACAGCACGAATGTGTTTTTCAATCGATTGCTGGGAGGGAGGCTTCGATTTCTCCTGGGCAAGGAACATCACTTTTTCTAACTCAGGCAGGGGCCAGCAGTGATGGTAAAGGTAAAACTGAAAGCACAGAAAAGTTGTTGCATTTAAAGAAAAACACAGTTTACCATAAGAGGGCGGTAGTCGTTTACCCAAAAAATAGCTACAGAACTGGGATGTCAGTCAAAAGATTTAACTTTCCCATGTTGAATCTGTATATAACTTATTTAGGCAGATACCACTGTACTTAAGAAAACTGATTTTGGAAACTTACCTTTTCTACTGCAAATGTTCGAATCACATACTCAGCCAGGAGCTCTGTTTCTATTAGGGTAACTTTAATGTCTTTATATATCTCTGTGTCATCTGGCCAGTATTTGCAGCATTTGACCTTTAAAAAATACAAAAGAAATTAAGATTCATTTATTTTAGAAGGTTTATACTGAATCTATTCTGTATTCTGTGCAATGATTCCTATTTTAGAATGCAATCATGCGCAAAACAGTCACATTTCCTACATGTGGAAATGATTAATGTTTAAGAGACATTGCCTCTTCTTCTTTCAAGACATCTTGCAGAGTTACAGGTGAGATTTGTGTTGTGGTTAGTAAAGTAAGGCAAATTTGCACAGAGCACAAGGGATATTTATCCCCCGCACAACTCAGTTACAGTAACTGTTCATTCCCTATGCTTTCCAACACAGGGTGTGCCCAGAGGGACAACTACCACCAGAAGGTTTTTTCCTCAACCTCTGGTTGATTTGTCTCAAAAATATCTTCCTACCTTCTAAAAAGAAAATGTGTTTCTCAGATGGGAAGGATCTTCTCTACTGTTTGAAAAGCATCTGTTTTCTCAGATTAACTTTCCACAGGAACTTATGAGAGGTCAAATGGCAAAACTCAACACTTGAAGTCAAGAGATGAGTTTTATGTCCGGGCTTTAACACCAATTCACGAGATGACCCCAAACACTATGGGTGGGATTCATCTCACTTAGCTCAAACTAAGATGCGCACGATGAATGCCTTCTAGAGGTGCCTTTATTTTTGTTAACTACAAAAAGTGTCTAGATGACTGCCTTTGCCTAGGTGTTTGGCTTCTTGATGGCTGAGGTTAGGTGAGATTAATTACCCTGTCCTCCATAGTGATTTTACTTGGCTTCTGGAGCTGTGTGTTCTTGGTAAATTTATCTGAGGTATGGAGACGGAAAGAAGGTGGGTCTTGTGAGCTGTATTTCAGATTTTTCTGAGCCCTGGTGTGGTCTAAATGGGATGGACTTCACAGTAATGTATTCAAACACACACTATTATTCTGCTGTTTTTTAAAGTGGGTCATTGTAGGGACTATATATGATGATGCAGATTGCTGACAGACTAAAGAATTTTCTCCTCCTTCCCATTTGCGTGGACAAGGCGGTGGGCGGGGAAGCTAACACATCACTTACATATCTCAGTTTTATTCTGCTCTATCATGGCAATAGCTATGCTATCACCGCTGCATCTGGCTGTTGTCCAGTAGTGCAGTACATGCTAGGAGTAGAGCATCTGCTACACATCTGCTGCATGGAATGATTTCTTTTTTTCTCTCACCAAAGGGAAAATTAAAAATGGATCTTTTAATACACATAAATCTACTGGTTTACTTAATTATACACTTAAACAGGTCGGGTAAAAAACCCCAAACCTTCAAATATTCAGTGGAAAGCTGATACAAAAATTAAAAAAAAATTAGACTTCACAACTCTTAGAGTATTTCTCAAACCCATTTTCATGCCAAAATATTTGGATTACTATCATGTCTAGTCTTGAGCAAAAAGGTAAAACTGAAGGATGTGTGTATAAGCATACAATGAAATCATTCAAATAATTTATTTATTCAAATGCCAGGTTCACTAAATGAAGGCTTATGCAGAGAGTCAAACGTTGCCCTGTCAGGCAGAAGCAAATACTTTCCTCAGAATTTGTTTCTAGTGGTGTAGGCGATAATCACGTACAACCCCTCTTTACTGTCTGGACAGAAGAGAGGTCTTGCCACACCAAAGTGGTAACATCAGCTGATAAAATAAAAAGTTTGTCAGGGCAGGGTCAGTAGTTCTGACCCTTTTTCTGACTCTTTAGCCAGATAAAATTTCAATCTGAATAGAACTGCGCTGAAGGGCTGGAAAAACACAGCCACACATCAGGATCCTCAGAGAAAAAGAGCTGCTTGGTCATAAGCCCTGGCTCCTAGCCACAAAATTAGACAAGCACCCTAATGGCTTATTCCTGCTTACACAGCTGATGGAAAGCTCCTGGAGCAGAGATGAAGTTCAGGTAGCCAAAAGCAGGTTTTTATTTATTTCTCTATGCTTGTCTTCAGACCTAGTAACTGCATTAGTATTGGCTAAGAAAAATTCTTTGTATTCTTCACATTTGATCTGGTATTAAGCATGGTTTCAGGACAACTGGCAAACACCAGGTTATACAGTTGCCTCCCATGGTGAGAGGCTTGGAGCTGGGACACTGGACAGTCCTGGCAGTGCCTAAGTGCTCCTGTACCAGGGGCAAGGGTGGCAAGAGTGCTCCCCCCACCATGCTCACCAGCCAGCAAGCTGACAGGGCGTCAGGGTGGATGAGAAGGTTTCCACCAGCCAAGGGCCGAGCTGAGGGACAGTCCCAGGGTGCCTAAACTGCAGGATCTCTGGCAAACACGTATTCATCTCCAAAGCATATCTATCAGCTATAAGCAATGAACAACCATTTCAAAAGCATTACATGTTGCTGCAAGCAGTTTAGTAGTTGCTGCTATCTATCTGTTGTTGCATCTACTTGATATTTATTCAGATCTTGTCTTGTTTGGATGTATTTCCAAAAACCCTCTGATAGAAGCTAAGTGAAAAACATTGAATGCTCATTGTTTTGTCTGTGTTGCTAAACTAGTCCAAAAAATTCACACTGCTCAAATGCCTTAAGCCAGCAAACTGACCCTCTTATAGTCGTTGCCGGGGACTCTCTGAAACAGGGTTTTCCTACCTACAGCTAAGATAATTTTTCCACTCTCCATACAGAATAAGGCAATCCACACTACCTCTGGACTGGAGCAGCCCACTGACAACCCCATCTTTGGAGCTGATTCCCTCTTCCAGCCTGTTCACTTATCCTTTCCATAGGTGGAACCTGAACCACACGAAGATGGCCAACGCATGTAGGAAGGGAGCAGCTGCAGCGGTGATCCCAGTCACAGCACTACTGAGCAGCACGTCTCTTTGTTGCTAACTTTAGCCTTATTTCTTTCTGATGGGCACCTGCCATCCTCAAAACAGCTCTAGTTTAGTAAAATAAACAATTGGGGAAAAAAACCCCAACCCTGGCTGAATTAAATTGCTCAGCCTTGAAGGAAAACATGCCTGTTTCTAACTTGCTAGGTCTAGACAGTCTGGACTATGACTAAGAACTAGGGACATTTAGAAAGACCAATTTAGAAGAGCACAGTCTCCACCTTCTTATGCTTCAACTGTTGGATTTCCTTCCACTCTTTTTTTAAACCTTATTTAAGATGATCCAGTGGAATAATTAGGGAAGCACTGGGGGATGTTGCACAGAAGTTACAGCCTTTTGTGCCTCATGCAGCTCGGGCCCGACGGGGATTTCTTACTCTGCTGCACAGGGGATTTTGGGCACGGAGCAGCTTGGAGCTGAGCAGAAGGATCCATGACAACACAATTTCCTGAAAACTCTCCCAAGTGGAATAGGGGCTGTAACAGCCGTGGGAATGGTGCCAGAGCTGCAGTCAGAGCCACAGACCAACACTAAATGATTCACTCACTGGGAGGGGGGAAAAAAACACCAAACTTTTTTTTTTTAATTTTAATTCAGGCTTTTTCCTTACTTTTGGCTCGTGTTCTGCAATGCTGCTGCACGTGCTGAGCTCTAGACATGGGAATTCTGTGGACTCCTGATGAGCCAAAAGTTAAGTAAATGCTTAAAGACCAGTCTCCCATCTCCTCCAGGACCTCTCAAATAAATGCAAAGGTGTTTTAAAGACAGAAGCAAATTAAATAGTGTAGATCAAAATCACGTTTATAAATGTTTATTGGATCAGGGCCTTTATTTCTACAGGGAAAGACAATTGCAACAAAATAGAATATGGTTTTACTCATCAAATATGAGAAACACTGCTGGTAACATATGCTTGTTCATTTTTTCTTTTTAGCACAGCTTTAGCTACTGTGACTTGAGGAA